CTGTTATTCATCACCGTGGGACCTGGATGGAAGTGTTCCTTTAGCAATCATTAGGGGGCATCATCTGTGCCAGTCACTCTTCCTGGCTCCAGGGAAACGGCAGTGAAGAAACCAGAATTCCTGGCCCTAGAACCTTATATTCATGGTGTCATAATCTCTCTGCCCCTTTATTTTCCCATCCGTACAATAGGGATGATAAAATTGTCAACTGTGAGGCTGGAGAGATGGCTTGGGGTTAAGAGTAGTTACTGCTCTTCTAGAGGACCTGGATTTGGTTCCCAGCACCCACATTAGGCAGCTCACAACTGTCTGTAACTTCAGTTCCAGGGGATCTGATGCTTTCTGGCCTCCACGGGCACCAGGAATGCATATGGTGCACATAAACATGCAGGCACACACAAATATACATATTGGGGGAAATCTTTCAAAAAAGATCTTTACCTGGCAAGGATTAAAGTATGAAAGCTGTTTAGAAAAGCACAAGGCAGCAAGCCAGCACTGTAACGGGGTAGACGTTCCTATATAAGTGTCTTTCAACACATCTGCATTTTGTAAATTTTCAATAATAAAAATTATTATTGTGAATAGAAAAGAAAGAAATCCCCAAAGTCCCAGATCAAAGACCATCTTAACTCAGCAGCCCGTCCCCACCACCCTCATCCTCAGCAAATACACACAGTGCCCCAGATGCATTGCCAGGGCTGATTAGAGAGAGGAAAGAGGGAACTTCTCTCTGAGCCTGTGCCTGTCTTTTCCTCTGGAACACTCTGCTGCCTCTTGTAAACAGCTCTTCTTGGTGCCCCAGGGTGTCACAGGGAACAGTCACAGAGGCGATTGTCCCCTCTGACCCACTAATTCGTCTCTTCTGGAGATCTAGTCATGGAGAGTAATTCACAAGAAACAAAGAAAGCAAAGACATCTGATATTAGCAGGGGCTTGCAAAGCACTCTTTGTGTGTGTGTGTGTGTGTGTGTGTGTGTGTGTGTGTGTATGTATGTATGTCTCCCTGTAGCTCCAGATGGCATGGAACTTGCTATGTAGACAAGGATGGTCTCTCTGCCTGCCTCTGCCTCCCTAGCGCTGGGCACCATGATCGGCTTGGCAGTCATTTCTTTTTTAAAAATATTTTATTATTTTTATTTTGTGTATGCGTGTACTGCCTGCATGTAGGTAAGTGTCCCTGTGTCCTGCAATGTCCATGGAAGACAGAAGAGGCTGTCGGATCCCCTGAAATGGGAGTCACGGACAATTGTTAGCTGTCATGTGGGTGCCAGGACCCAAACCCAGGTCCTCTGCAAGAAAAGTCTGTGTTCTTAACCACTGAGCCATCTCTCCAGCCCCCAGGCAGTCATTCCTTGAGGATTCAATCTTCAGTACCACTCAAGAGAAAACAAATCTCTGCAACAGCAACATAGCCAAACAGATCTGAGAGAAACACTGTAAAGAGCAGCAGAAGGCAACTACGGCCCCAATCACCACATAAAGAAAGAGAAAAAAATAGTGTGGCATAAAGTATGAAGTTAGAAAGCCATGAAAAACAGCCAGGTGTGGTTGCACATGCCTTTAATCCCAGCACTGGGGAAGCATAGGCAGGCAGAGCTCTGTGAGTTCAAGGTCAGTCTGATCTACTTAGTGAGCTCCAGGCTAGCCAGGGCTACACAGAGAGACCCTGTGCCCCACCCCTCAAAATCCATAAAAAGTAGTAATAATAAAAAAATAAGAGAGCTGGGCGTGTTGGTGCACACTTTTAATTACAGCACTTCGGAGGCAGAGGCAGGCAGATCTTTGTGAGTTCAAGGCCAGCCTGGTCTACATAGCAAATTCCAGGTCAACTGGGGCTACAGGGAGACCCTGTCTCAAAAGACCAAAGAGAGAGAGAGAGAGAGAGAGAGAGAGAGAGAGAGAGAGAGAGAGAGAG